GAAAAAAAAAAAAAAAAAAAAAAAAAAACTGAGGGAGTTCATCAGTATCAGACGACCTCCTCTAGGAATGTTAAAAGAAGCTTTTCAGGCAGAAGAAAAATGGTATAGGTCAGGCGCTCAGATCTACATAGCAAAAAAATTGTCTGTTTTATTGTCTTCAAGCTTCTGGAAGGCATGAACTTTGTCTTATTCATCAGGCATCACCAGGGCTTAGCAAAATGCAGGCACACAATAGGTCCTGAAAGACTGCTTGAATGGGTCATGAACCACTATTTTGGAGGTTTCTTCTCACTTTGGACACATTCAAACAGACCAAAGGCAGCTGTGGAGCACAAAGTTTGACTTATACCTGGAGAGGGAAGAGGGGGATCCTACTCATCCCTCCCCCTTCATTCACCCAAATCTATATCTTGGGACCAGCATCTTCATACTGCCTCATACCACACCCTCATCCTGAGAAACAAGTGAGGAGAGGGAGAACTGAGGCTCTGACATGTCCATCCAGTTGTATGTTCAGGAAAGATGAAATAGGAGAGAGACAAATACAGAGAAAGAGACAGGCAGAGAGAGACAGAGACAGAGAGAGAGTTAGCCTCGATCAGCGGCAGGAAGTAGAAGGAGGCAACACATGGTGTTCAGCTTTAAGACATGGTGGCCCTACACAGGAGTAAATATGGCTCTGTAAGTGTCCTGGGTGCAACAATTGTTCCATCAATCACACTGGTACCTACTCCTCCCTTAAGAGAGAGGCAGAAGGGTGGGATAAGGGAGCAGAAGAGTCCTATCATCCAGAAGTAAAGAAGCCCATGTTGCAAATTGGATTATGATCCCACCTGGGGAATGGGAGTGGAAGCTTCTCATCCATTGAGGTAAATCTGTTCTCATGGCAGTTAAATCTCTGCTTCCCTCCAAAAGGCCAAACTTTCTCTCAGTCCAGCCTGGCTAACCACAGAGTTTTCCCAGTAAATCCAGGCTCTCAGTATTTTAGAAGGTCCACAGTATAGGAAAGAACAGTCCCTAGGAAAGTACTGTCTGCTCCTTACCAAACTCATTGATTAGAAGACCTACGAGAGGACAAAGGCAGTCCCTTCTCACAGTGCCAGACACTTGGTTTAAAAACATAAGAAGTCAAGCGCTCAGCCAGATCTTTTCAGTCCAACACTTTCTTGGTCTAAATCAATGATGTGGGCCTCTGCACACCAGTTTCACACCATCTATCGGCAGTTCACAGTGTCTACTGGCATGGTAACCAGCCTAAAGCTCCAGCGAGATCTGACTGCAGATCCCTGGGAAAGCTTTTGTAAGTAACCCATGGCCTTTCTCTCCAGGGGAACTTCTCAACACTGTTCAGGGGACCACATTCACTCCCAAGTGACCACTAATTTAAAAATCAGGGAGAGTGAGTCTTAAAGTGGGCATTGCTTTTGTCTTAAGATACTCTTTTTTTCTCACCCTTACCTTTCAGTTCCCACTGCTTCTCATCTCTAGGGCCCTCTCCTGCCTCTCAAAGTCAGAACCCCCTTGAGCACCATGCAAGATGCTCCCCATATATCAGTGGTTCTCAAAGTATGGTCTGTGGACCAGGAGCTTCAGCATCACTTGGCAACTGGTTAAAAAGAAAGAAAGAGAAAAGAAAGAAAGAAAGGAAAGGAAGAAAGAAAGAGGAAGGGCTTGTACCCAACACAACAGGGCCTCTTGACATTTAATACAGATGGAGATCAAGGTGGCCCTCCATCCTAGCTATTGAGGCTCAAGGGCACACCTCTGGGAATCATACAGCCTCCAACTTACGGAACTTCTCTGGAAAGACATGTCAATGTACCATGACTGCCCTCACACCCAGAACAGGTGGAAATAAGACTTACAGTTGGTAGGGATAGGAACTATTCTGAATACCACTCACATCCTCCCCACAGGAGGGAGATGGGACCTGCTACATAACAATACACAATGGAAACAGTACATAATACAATGCCAGTCACTCTGTCTCAGCTCAGGCAGTGGATGTTGTGCGATAAAAGGCACAAAATCAAAAGAGCACAGGCCCTTGGGGAGAGGTGAGGGGAGCAGTCAGGGTTGACTGGAGGACAGGAGGGGTATGGACAAGTCATGGGAGGTAAAGCTGGAAACGTGATTTGGGACCAGCCTAGTACCACATGCATAGCCCACCTGGCAGCACTTGCCCTCTTTCAGAGTCAGTGTAGGAGCATATTTACAGCACAGGTCTGGAGCTAGATAGCTGAGTTCCAATCCCAGTCTGAGTCTTGAGCAATCAACTTAACCTTTCCACATATCCATTACCAAATTGGTAAAAAGGTGATAGTCATAGTACCTTACATATACATACATAATAACTTAGAACATGGGGTTGATGTGAGGATTAAGTCAATGCCTGCAAAGCACTTAAACAGTGCCTGGAGCCTAAGAAAGCATGCAATGTGTTAGCTATTACTGTAGGTATTATTATTACTAATTCTGCAATCAACAGGGCCACTGGAAGGAGACTGGTAAGATCACTACCTCTCCTTCAGGTGCTTGATTGGACTGTAGTGTGTAGGATGGAAGGGATCAGAGAGGTGGAAGGCCAAGAAGCTAGTCTGGAGGTCACTGCAATTCTAGGTAAGAGGTGCCACTCAGAGTAGCAAAGATAAAGGAAAGAAAGGGAAAGGAAATGGACCAGACATCAGATACATCTGAGCAGTGAACTGGCAACACTTGGCAAATGACTGGGCGTGGCTGGTGTGGAAAATGAAATGGTCAGAAGATAAAAGGATGGTGTCTGAAAACATGTCCATTTTTGCACCAAGGTAACTGCTGAAATGACACTAAGAAATTAATTCTGCCTGCTCTTTACTAAGCTTCCTCTTCATCCTGTTGTACCCAGCGACCCTGGTACTCACAGACATTCAGAGCTTCTCCCTTCTCTAACACTCTAATCTTCTGATCCTCGGCGAGGAAACCTCAACTTCACTTACCTTGTCTAAAGGTGACTTTTATGCTACTTGCCATGCAGCTACCCGCACACAGAGCAACTGATGACTGGCCATTATTCCACCTGGTTCCAAAAGCCTCCAGGCAGGCCCCCAACTCCATTCCTCCTACCCTTTTAATTTTTCTCCCGGGAATCTTCAGATAAGTTAAGTCCAATTTACAAGGAAGCGGGGTGCATCCAAACTAAGCAAGTCAGTAAAATGACTAGAGATGACAGTAGGACCCTTCTCAGCAACACGCCTCTCCCCACACGTTATCACCCTGCACATCCACTCTCTGAAAAATCCAGCCTTTTTTCTACCTGTATTCAATCCTAAAATACTTCCCACCACACAGACACCACTGGCATCCACCCGGGAGCGGGGCTCCACGTCCCTTGCAGGCAAGTGCATGGAGCTAAGAATCAGCAGACCCACCTTCTAACTCTATCAGTAAGTTGTAACAAACGACTTGCCCTGTCGGGCCTCAGACCTGAGCCTAAATTCTGATGACCTCCCCACTCCCCTCGACCAGCAGGGGGCAAAGTCAGCGGGAGGCACCCCCAGAGCTAGCTCCTCTGGGCTCCAGAAGACCCGCAGAGGTCCGCACTTCCGGCTATAGCCCCGCACTCTCCGCGGGCAGGGGAACCCCGTAAGCTGTCGCCCCGTGCTCCTCCAGCGGGCCTACAGCTACCTGGTCCAGCAGCCTGTAGATGCTGATACCGAAGGTCTCCACCAGCAGCTCCCAGTCGGCCCTGGAAAGTGCGGGCTGCTGAAGCTCAGCGCAGGCTTCCCGGAACTGCCCCTCAGAGAAGCCGCCGGCCCCAAGGTCCATCCTTCCGCAGTAGCTGCTTCTCAACCTGCAGGGAAGGCCAAGGACAGGCTAGGTTCGTGTTCGGGGGCGGGGCGAGAGGGTTGCCCAGCGTAATTGGCAGGGAACCGAAAAATGATTGGGAGAAGGCGGGACTTGGGAGGAAGAGGCGAAGAGGAGGCGGGGCCAGTGAGGGGCAGGCCTAGAGCAGGCCTAGAGAAGGTTTCCACAGAGCGAGAGCTGCGGAAGGATGGGAAAGAAAGACTAGAGAAACTTTGGACTTGATCTGGGGAAAGCTGGAGAGGCTAGGAAATGGGGAGGCTTCTAGACAGAAGAGAAAAGGAAGACAGTAATGTCATCTCAGAAGCATCTCTTCCCCAACACCATACCCACCAAACCTGCTTGGCTGTCTCTTCTTTACCTTCTCTGAAGAAGGCTAGGGAAGGTCTCTGAGTGGTTTGGTAGACATGGAGGTAAGATGGACAGAGCAGAAATGCTTGAAAGTCTCAGGGGTCAGATGCTAGAACAATATTACATTCGTTCTGTTATGCACTTTAAAACATTTTTCTGAGACGAGGTCCATGGGATTCCCCAGAAGGCCAAAGGGTCCATCTCACAAAAAGGATTAAGAAACCTAATCCATAATGGTATTTTGCCCCCTGGATGGTGGAAGATGATCTAAAAAGGTATCATGGTGTCCATCCAAGATTTCTGCTGGTTGCATAATTTTGATCTTTTGCAACTCAAAGACCTTTTTGTTCCCTCAAGTCCTTTTGATGTTGCTATATTTCTTACCAGCAGGCTGCATTTTGGTTTGGATAAAGTAGACGGTTTAAACATCAATCAGTGTAACAGTACATGGGTGCCAGTAAACTCTGGCAACCCATGTTTCCTAATCTATAAAATGGGGTAAAATTGTACAACCAGTTAGAATTGAGGAGGTAACTACATAAAATAAACATAGAACATGTTTGCGCAGTGCCTATCAAAGTAAATGTTCATTAAAATGTCCACTTGTTTTACATTTATATATTGAAATGTTTCTCCTTCTGTACCTGAAAGAAAGCCTTGAAGTTGATGGCAAACTCTGCATTTATGCCAGTTTGCAAGAGAAAATGATTAGACTTGGCAGCGTAGGTAAATTACTGCTGTATTCAGTTCAAGGCTGGTTCTGTTCTGTTTTATGAGGATGGGAGGAGGGATGGGGTAGTTCCCTATACTAAATACACAAGAGGTTAGAGACTCTTAAGACTCTTAAGTTTGGTCCTCTTTATAAAAAAATATTTAAACTAAAGTTTAATTGCTTAAAAAAAGGAATTTCTTCAAAAACCATTGACTATGAAGTATTTTCATATATTGTCAAGGAATTCCATTTTAAAGGTGGGCTTTGATGAGGATGCAGCTTTATCACTTTTTAGCAATTGATTAATGAAGACAAGCATGAGAGTATAAATGGCATTATGAAAGATATAAGGCAGGAAGTTTAAATTGTGTTTATTACATGTGTTTAAACGTGTGCTTATTTACTAAACTCAGAAGGTAAAATGTATATACATTTGGGTATGTTGATATTTACAACCATGCTTATTTTATTAGAGCTAATGAAGGAAAGAGTCATATTTGGAAATAATTTTTATTTTGTGGCAAAAATCTGGAAAAGGGTTGGAAGGGTGTCCAGAAAGACCTGTTCTCCTTTAGGACTTGTCTATTATAATAGGCCAACCTCTTTCCTTTGTGAAAAACACTCTTTAGAGGAACTTCCAGCAACATGGCAGGTGAGGAATAATATATTTGGGGCTTCCTAAAATCCCAACAGACAAACGTTCTAAGGGCTGGGGTTGTGGTTCTAGTACTCACACGTGGGCTAAAGATGTGGTGCTGGGCCATAGCTGGTGGGAAGCTGGACCAGGGACTTCTTCATGGAGCCTGGATCCCCTAAGAGCTGCCCCTTCCATTCCAATGAAACCAGAAAATCCCTGTAGACCATGTAGACCATGGAGACCATGTAGACCATGGAGCCCTCAAGGAAACTCATGCTTTTCCCAAAGGCTTAGGTAGAAAGAAACAAAAAGGCAACTGGAAGAAACCACACCCCAAGCCTAAGCCAGAGATGGAATTTAAATTTACATTACCTGCAACTGAATGGGAGCCGCAAGGAGATAAATTAACACAAAGGACCATTGAAACACCTGGGACCCTGCGAGAATCAAAACCAGTGACACTTTCACAGCTAGGACACGTGCAATTATCCAAGAGAAAACAACACCCACAAGAAGATGCATGTACAAAAAGTGAGTTACAAAGACCTGAGGGAACAGCTCTCCATGTCAGAGAGTTAGCAGCTGTGCAAACAGGATTATCAGAACCAAAGAACCACAGATAACAGACCAATATGAGAGTAATTATTCAACATGTATTTGTGATAATATAAGAGGTAAAAGAAGGTCTAGAAAATAGAACACTAAGAAAAAGATAAATGAATGTGAAAAAGAACCAAAAGAAGCAAACCACCTTTTACAAATAAAAACTATTAACAGTCACTACAATTAGAAATGTAAAAGAGGAGGTAAAGTAGTTGTCCTACCACAGTTCAAGAGGGAAATAAGAAGGTGGCTATGAGGAAATTCTCCAGAAAGCAACACAGAGATATAAAGAAATGGAAAACATGAAAGATTAACTAAGAGACATGAAGGACACATTGAAAAGGTAAAACATTTATGACTGGAGTTCCACAAGAAGAGAACAGAGAGGTTAAGAGGTGAGGTGGATGGGTGGGGAGATAGATAGATAAATGGACATATGGAAACAAAGAGAAACTAAAACTCTAAACAGCAAAAAACATAAACAGGGGAGGACAAAGTCAGAGTTTTCTTTAGAAAGTGGGTAAGAGATATTGATTAATTGTCTTCTGTGCATGCTAAAATTTAATGGAATAAATTCTCAAAAGGTAACAATAAGAAAGCAAGCAAACAAATAAAAATGGGCAAAAGATTTAAACAGACATTTCACCAAGAATATATACTGATGGAAATAAGAACATGAAAAGATAGATAAGAACATGAAAAGATACTCAACATCATTCATCATCAGGGTAATATAAATTAAAATCACATATGAGATATAAATATGCACCTTTTAGAGAGCTGAAATTAAAAAGATTGACCAAAGTAAGTGTTGGCAAGGATGTGGAAGAAATAGAACTCTCCTGCATTGCTGATGGGAATGGAAATGGGACAAACACTGTGGAAAACTGACAATTTCTTTAAAAGTTAAACATACACAGGAGGGGGAAGGGTAAGCTGGGACAAAGTGAGAGAGTAGCACTGACATATATATACTACCAAATGTAAAATAGATAGCTAGTGGGAAGAAGCCACATAGCACAGGGAGATCAGCTTGGTGCTTTATGACCACCTAGAGGGGTGGGATAGGGAAGGGAAGAGGGAGACGCAAGAGGGAGGGGCTATTGGGATATATATATATATACATATAGCTGATTCACCTTGTTGTACAGCAGAAACTAACACAACATTGTAAAGCAATTATACTCCAATAAAGATGTTAAAAAAAAAAAAAAAACATACACCTACCATACAATCTAGCCATTCCATTCCTAGGTATTTATCCAAGAGAAAAAAAAATAACATTGTTCATATAGACACAAATGTTCATAGCATCTTAATTTGTAATAGCCAAAAACTGGAAACAACTCAAATGTCCTTCAATGGGTGAATTGATAAAACAAATTGTGATATATCCACCAACCAAGTACTACTCAGCAATACACTTTTAACTGATTAACATGTGTATATGAACTTGTGTGCATATGTATGTGATATATATATATATATATATAAAATGTAATTTATGCAATTTTGTATAAATCATTCAATTCAGGAGTGAAGTAGCATGATAACTGCAATTTACATTCAAATTGGTCAGTTAAAAATTGTGTAATCTATATAGAAATGCAAAAGTGACAAAATATGAACAACTGATAAATTTAGGTAAGGGTAGCAATATTTTCTATTCTATTCCTTCAAATTTTCTTCATATTTGAAATTATTCAAAATAGAAATTTTGAGAAAACCCAGCTATATGTGTTTATATGAGGCATAACTAAAATACAATTACACAGAAAATGTATAGGTAAATGTATGCAAAATATACACAAGTAAGCCTTAAACAAAGGAAAGCTGATGTGGCTGTAAAAATGTCAGACAAAACAGACTTTAAGGCAAGAAAAGAATTAGTAGAAAGAAGTTCATGAATTGAAGGACAAAGGACACCACTCTTCAGGAGTTCTGAGTGCCTAAATTTATATTCATTTCACAACATGGTCTCAAATACATAAGGCAAAAGATGTTACCTGTGCAGTCTTCCCTCAGTATTTGGGGGGATTGATTCCAGGACCCCTGAGGATACCAAGATCTGTAGATACTCACATCCCTTATATGAATTGGTAAAATATTTGTATATAACCTATGCACATCGTCACATGTACTTTAAATCATCTCTAGATTACTTATAATACCTAATACAATGTAAATGTTACATAAAGAGTTGCCTGTGTGTAGCATTTTCAAGCTTTGCTTTTTGGAACTTTCTGGAATTTTTTTATGTTTTCAATTTGTGGTTGGTTAAATCAAGGAAACCCACGGTTGTGAAGGGCTCACTGTACAAGGAAAAATCATCAAATGTACAACCAGTGGACGATTTTAAGGCTCTTTTCTAGGAAATGGATTGATCAAGTAGAAAAAAAAATTGGTAAAGATATGAAAGATTTGAGCATAGAATTCATATGTCTGATATAAAGGGCATTTACAGAACCCAATTACAAACTCTCATAAAACATTTATTAAAACTGATGTTTCCATAAGCCACAAAAGATGTTTTCAACCAACAGGAAAGAATCTATATCATTCTCTGATGACAATGTAAAAGATAAAAGAAAGGAATAAAAAGGAAACAAAAATAGCCAATCCCTGCCCCCCCATATATTTGAAAACAAAACAAAACAAATA